ACCCGACACATGCTGGGTAGGGTTTATCATCTTTCTGTTGTGTTTTTGTGTTCGAGCAGAGTGCAATTCAATTGTGGCTCTGTCCGCGGAAAGAGACACAGCTGAGGAAAATAAATACTGCGAGGTGCCCGTTCCCGGAAAAGAACTGTCCGAGGCTGCAACCCCCCCCCTATTGCACTTGAGAGCAGGGATCAGTAGTCGTTACCGAGGCCAGCGCAACCGGCGGTTACGGGCGCTTGCAATTTCTGTCCTTGGCTCGAGTGTACGTGTTCGGGTGCTCCACAGTAAACCCGACCTTGTGTCCTATCACGTCTCAGCGGGAAGACGAAGTAAATCTTACTTAATGCTATCCAATGAAAAGTACTAAACGACCTTTTTAACTAATCTAATAGGTGTGGACAGTTCGAAATATCCTCTATGTCGTCTACAAGCGAAAATCAATATGACCAGACACGCAAAATGTGGAAATTGCGATTTGACCTTTTCATTTAAAGCAGGGTTGTTCAACCTTTTTGCCTAATAGTCCAAATTAGAAATTTAGGTATATTCATCGGGCCACAAAATTACTTTATTTGAAAAATTCAGAATGTCGTGAATTATATTATTTTAATTACAAAAATTTTATTTTATATATTATTTTAACTACAAAAAATACTGTATTATTAACAGTAAAAAAAAAGAAAAAAGAAATTATACATACACTAAATAAAATAAATTTAATGGGATTTTTGACACTACTTTCCTTTTATAATATTGTCAATATTTGGTTTTATGGTCCTAGTCTTTATTCCAAGAATGTCAGTTAAATGGGAATCACTCAATCTATTGCTTTCAGCAGTTTTGATTTTCTTTCATGCATAGAACGAATTGTTCACAGCAATATGTACTACTCGACATGGAGAACAGTTTTCTAGATAAATTAACAATTTCATCAAATTCATTTAAAGAATGAATTTCTTTATAAAATTCAAGAAAGGAATGTTCTCTAAGTTTTCAAAGATTCCCTGCTTTGAAGCTCAATGAATTCTAGTTGGTATTCACTTGGTGCTTCTACATAATTAAATGAAAATGAATCCCTAAATAATTTTAATTCAGTTTAATCGTTTAACAAAACTTCATATAATTTACTATATTTTTCTTTTCTTTTTAATAACCTCTGAAAATACACAATTTCAACAGCTTTCAATTATGTTATCAAAAATCTTAGTAAAACCTATTATTAGCTCAAACAGTGAGCATTTTCCTTGTGAATACAAATTAAGGTTAGAAAAAAATTCAGTGATATCTCCGAAGGAAAGATTTTTCAAAAATGTTAATTTTATCAAAATAAAATAAATGAATAAAATGGCTTGAATAAAAATACTGCATTATTGACAGTAAGAAAAAAGAAATTAAAATAAATTCAATGGGATTTTTAACATTACTTCCCTTTTATGATATTGTCAATATCTGATTTAATGGTACTAGTCTTTATTCTAAGAATAGTTAAGTTAGTTAAATGAGAATTCAGTCAGTCAGTTATGTGGCATGCTTGATATACGCTTAGGTGATCATGTATCTTTCGATATATGACTGACGCGGTAGATTTTTTTCCGCATTAGGTTGTCAATTTTTTCTGCGGTACACCAGTTGCCATCAAAGGCTATAGAATCCCGGTTGCCCTGCTATTTACCCATAGCTGGTTGGAGAAAAAGAGGGTTCATACCTTTCCCAAGAGTATTAGCACGTTAGTGAATGTAATGGATTCGACTGGAATTCGAACTCGGCTCTACGATTCCTCAATCCTAAGCGCTATCCATTTAGCAGTTTAGCTTTTCATTTCTTTCAGCAGTTTATATGTTTTATCTATTTATTTTTTCGCAAGTTTAGATGTTTTTCATGCACGAAAAGAACTGTTCACAGCAGTATGTCATACCCCACATGTATAATAGTTTTCTAGATAAGCTAAATAATATTTAATTAGTTCTGGCTCTTCCCCCACGCACGCACGCACCAGCCGGTGTGTCTCGACAAATGTTTTGCCCCCCTCTCCTTTTAGTGCAATGGGGAAATAAACCTACTAGCACAATCTGAGAATAATTTTCTCGACATACGTTACTAAAGTAAATGAAAATATGCCTAAAGATTTTACGGTGCAGTGGACCGCATCAAAAATATTAAGTGAGCCCACAGTGCGGTCCGCTGGTTGGACGACCCCTTTTAAAGGAAAACCTTTACTGCTTCAAATTTGGCATATCTGAAGTACTAGCATTATAATTTCCACCGCCGTAACGTAGCTTTCCTGTGCCTTTTCTATAAATATTTTCATTATTCTTTCCTCTTTTGTACACCTTTGTTAATTGATATCTTCTTAATTCCTGTCCTTTATTGTCCTTTCTCCATTTTCCCATATTTTTTCACATTCGGTAACCCTTTTGCATCTTAGTGGCTTTATTGCCTTGCTTGAGATGAAATGATTAAAAGCAGCTACTCTTGCGATTGCGATCATTATTAATCCATTAATGCAGACTGTAATATTCGATATCTTATATATAAAGTTGTAGCCTCTGTCTGTCTGTCTATGTTTCTGAGATGAGGTATTATGCACACTATTTGCATTATTCGGACTATTGTCCTCATCTTTGTCACCATATTTATTACAACGTTTCGGCTCAAGGACACATGGCACAGTTGATAAAGGCGTTGGTTAGATCCAGTGACAGGACCCAAAGAGTGTGAGTTCAATACCCAGTTAAGGCAGTGGAGAACTTGGAGAGAGGAATTAACAGGAGATAACTGATAACTGACATCCATTAAACACGGCATGTGGAACTAGAAGAGTGAGCGAAATAAAGGGTTCAGTTTGACATTCCAACCACCTGAAGAAGGTTGGAGCGTACAACGGCCGAAACGTAATAAATATGGCGACAAAGATGAGGACTGTTTGTTATCGAATTCCTCATAGAGATTTGACCTCATTGGCCATATATAGTCTAAAACTAAATTACCCAGGGTACTTGGATAAGTATATTTCATTTTGATCAAAGAGGGTCCCCAAATTTTTCTATTTGATTTAAATTAAATTTAAATTTGAATAAGGGAATGACTCCTATCCAATATAGAAGGAGAAAGCCAGAAGATGGAGGTTACATTGGCAAGATCATTGAGTAATACTAAAATGCATAATTTTTCTCCACAAATTATAACAATGGTTTAAAATCAATTATCATTTTCTTATAAAAAAGTGCGTAACACGCAACAAAGGGCGGGTTATTTGGCGAGTTAATTATAAAAATAAAAATCAGTTATTAATTATAGATTTTTACCTTCTAGCTACGAACAGAGAAAAATAAGTTGTCATAGAAGTTCACTTACCTTCTCTAATATTTCTGTATAAACAATATTTTCAGCAAGACATCTATTTAAAGAATAGATTTTTTTTATTATGGTCTTTTTGTTAATATTCCAAGTCCACTTGAGTTTCCTGCTCTTGACACAGCTACATAGAGCTGACTATAAAAGAAACACTTGGATTATTTTATAATGTCTATATTAATAATAAAGACTATTTGAGTAAATTTACTATTTTTTCTGAGTTAAACAATTCAGTACATTTTTAAGAAAACTTTATTAAATAGATTATTTTGACTTATTTAGATAATCTCATACATCTTTTGCGGCCCCATTCGACTGTAATATGAAATAGCAGACGACAGCAAGGTTTATTATGAACGTTGTAGGTTTTCTAACTTACGACTGAATTTTGATAAGGCAGATATAAATTCTTTCTAGAAAATCACGATGACTTCAAAAATAAAACTTTATTAACAGAAACGGTGATTATATATGAGATTTTTTAAAGTTTGAATTAAAAAAATAAATAGCAGAACTAATAAACATTTTTAGTAATATATATATATATATATATATATATATATATATATATATATATATATATATAATGGTAAAGATTTATTAAATGTTATTTTTATTCGTCATGTCACATTTGGTGTAATTTTGTCTCCAATAATTACATGTTGGTTTTGGTCTCTGTTTTCCTGATGAGGTAAGATTGGGGTACATAGATAAATTTTACTTTTACGTGAAACTTTAAATATATTCTTTTTGTTTTTATAAAAAATTTGAATTTACCCCGTGCAAGGCAATAAAGCCACTAAGAAGCAATGTGTTACTAGTTGTGAAAAAATTAAAAAAACAGAAACATTATTAAAAAGCAAGAACGATAGAATAGTGTTGTAACCTAGGGAAAGAATAATCACACGAAAGTCGGTAATGAACGATAATACATAGGACAAGAACAACACATATAAGATTCATCAGCGGCGCGTAGAAGTAGTCAACTGCTAGAAGTGAGTCAAGTGAATTCCACAATGAATCTCCAACTGCAGACCGCAGGTCCACACATATAGTATTTACTACTGTACTTATGGGAATAGGGAGGTATAACCATTATCGTCTGTAGGTATGCTACAACAAATAGTAATCAGGAAGACAGTAGATAGCAATTGATATTGCATTTAAATTTTTGAAGATCAACGTTGGCTGGAAAGCAAGAAGAGAGTTCCACAAGCGAGAAGTGCGATAAAAGAATCTGTTAGCATAGAACTTATGGTAAAATCTAGCCAATTAAACTGTGAATTTAGGAGACCATGTTGCTTATTTAGTACAGCGCTTAAGTTTATAAAGCCTAGGTGTTAAATAATAGTTTAGTAGATTATTATCTTTACGGAGAAGTGTATCTCAGCTCCGACTTCAGGAGTTTGACCTTCGGAGTCAGATGTAAGACGATTGGCTGAGCTAGCTTGGGAATGATAGATAGAGAAAGATTTATCTGTGAGTTGTTTCTTGACCGTCAAGCGATGTAGACGTGTTCTCTTTCGTGTCTGAAACGGCACCCTAGATGGTTAGTACATGTCGACATTAATAAAAATAGATAAGTTAGAATTATTCGTGTTTGATGCCTTTCATCTCTGGGCCCAAAACAGTTAGCAACCCCTGACCGGGAGGGGATAGATAGATAGATAGAAAGAAAGAAAGAAAGAAAGAAAGAAAGAAAGAAAGAAAGAAAGAAAGAAAGAAATAGATAGATAGATAGATAGATAGATAGGGAGAGATAGATAGATAGATAGAGAGAGAGAGAGAGTAACAAAGGTACCATAGCAAGAGCTGATCCGAAAAATTATCATGAAAGTACTTATAGAAAAGGTAGAGGGAAGCCACTGCGAAGTGTTTTAACAGAGGATGGAAAATGCGATATCGAAATTTGGAGGTGCATTCGATAAGCGAAAGATGCATTCCAAAAACTAAACAATGTATTAAGGAAAAGAAAAATTTCATTAGAAAAAAAAGAGTGTCGAACTAATATTTCGTATCAACTCACTTGTTTGGCAGTGAATGCTGGACAATCTTTCCACAGTTAAAGAGGAAACTAGTAACAGCAGAAATATAGTTCTAAAAAGGATGCTACTAATAATATAGACGGAGCAACGATGGAGTCTTAAAGAAAATAATAACAAAAAGAACGCTTCTAATCGGAATCAGGAGGAAACAATTGAAGTTTCTTGTACAGGTAATGAGGAAAGAGGGTTTGGAGAACTTGACCCTCACATAATATGCCATCCATTCATATCAGCTTATAAGATAGGTGGCGCGCTGCTACCTATCTGATAAGCTGATATGCATGGATAGCGAAATGAGTGACAGCAGGATAGGTAGTTGTGGAGAGCCATGATAGCCCTCATCCTGAAGGGACATAGCACACAGAAAAACATGGGCGGGTAGGCATTAATGCGTTAAGTAAAACTTCATTCATTTCACACAAAGCCTCAGACTCAACACGACGGCCTAAATCAAGTGCCTTGACGAGGTAGTGCTGCTCTGGGTCAAAAGGTTGGATGCTGGAAGATCCTATGACTGGCAACAGGACTTTGCACATTGCCACACAAGCAGGAGAGCCCAGTCATGGCCGTCAGACAATTTCTGCATCCACATCACCCCTTACATCTGTTAACCTAACTCCCCAGACTGCAACCCCCTTGATTATTATGTGTGGGGCGCAGTTGAGCGAGAGACCAACAAATCTCTTTGTAACAACAAAGATGAACAAGTTGTATGATGCCTTAAAATTCCAACGGATTGATCTAGAAGACCAGACAGTCATTCTAAATCAAGAGAGAAAAAAATCTGACAAAATATGGATGTCAGTATTCTGGCAATCACAAATCAGAGCAAATGATAAAAGACTAAAAAAAAAATTCTGATTTTGTCAGAGAACTGAAAAACAAATTGTTGAAGTTGAAGGCGACTTTTGTGCATCTCAATGGTTCACCTGGAATATTTCTGAAGAGAGTTGTAAAGCGGATGAAAGTACTGGAAATCCGAGGAAGACTTGAAATCATCCAGATGACAGCATTGTTAAGATTAGTTAAAATATTAAAAATAATACTGGAACATTGAGGAGACTTGCTGTCACTTGATCTCCAGGGAAAAATTCAAATAATAATAGTGAAACAAGAAAATGACTGTTCCACTCATTATTAGCGGTGCACTTGGAACTGTATCGAAAAGTCTTCAAAAATGGTTGGAAAAAATTAAAAATACTAAGAAAAATCGAAACCCTCAAAACAAAAGCGAGAAAGGGCTGGAGTATTGAGGAAACTTACTCTCGATTGATCCCCAGTGAAAAGAACCAGTTACAAATTAGTGTCAGTACTTAACTGGTAGAAAATAATTAAATATTATAGAGAAAATAAAATAATTACCATTTTTATAATAAAATAAATCAATGAAACTACCAAGACATAGCTCAAGAATAAAAGCACCCGTGAATAATGGAGGTCAGCATCATATCCATAATAAGAAATGTGTGTAAAACATTTTAAAGTTGTTTGTTAAAAATGCTTATTTCATAATATTTAGTACATCGTATATTTATTAGTCATCAAAATATTTTCCCTGACATTCTATGTCGTTATATCAACTCATCGGAAGTTTTCGAATTCCATCTTCATAAAAAGTTTTTCGAATACCATCTTTATAAAAACGTCTCTGGCGCAATGAAATCTTCAGTGTAATTTGGAATATTAAAGATAATTTACAATTCTTAAACAAACAAGGAATGTTGTATAGATCGAAATAATCAGATGGCGTCAAACATTAAATACGCCTAATGAGAAAGTATTTCTTATTCTAACTCACTGATTTTTTTTTTTTTGGTGGAGCAACACATGGAAAAGCGGTTTCATTCAGCGGTATGATTTTACGTTTTCATTTTCTTGTAAATTCTTCATTATTTTCTTCAAATACAGCGCCCAAATTTGAAAGTGGTAAGTGTAATGCTCTTTAGTAGCAGTTTCACTAGGCTTCATCAATTCGAATTCTCTCTGGGTATATATATCAACTTTACACTTTGATGTGATTGTCCATTCTAAATCGAAAATGAGACAAACTGCTTAATCCGACACTCTAATCTCTGCCAGGTGCGTCCAATGTAAACAGATTCATCATGGTTCATAAACGAATAAACATTTTATAGGAGAAAAAACTACCCTTGCTAATAGAAAAAAGCACACTCTTTTATGGCAACGAATATTGGACGGTCTCCTCAAAGATGAAAAAGAGACTCGCGCCAACGGATGTATGGTTCTACAGAAGGATGCTAAGGATACCATGAACCGAACATGTGAGCAACGATGAGGTTTTGGAAAGGATAAAAACAAGGTGAAAGCAACCCATGACATACCTAGCAGCAAGTGGATGACAGAACATGGCCTGGGAGAAGTAACCAAAGGACAAAACATATTGAGAACTACAAGGGATAGGAGGAAGTGAAGAGCCATGATTGCTTATATCCTGAATGGAAACGGCACATAAAAGAAGAAAGAAGGTTCAAATTCACTGTAGGAAAGCAACGAATGACAGACTTAGTAATTTGTTGGGAAAAGGCCGACATTGCCAAAACAAAGTGTTTTTAGATTTAGCGGGTATTTAAGTGATACGAATTTTATGAATAGAAAAAAAAAATGGACATTGTTTTTTTATAGCTTATAGCGAAAGAGACAACTGCAATGCACATCAATAACATTTTTTTAAAATCAGTTCACTGTAAGCAAGGCGCTGATGCCACTGAGACGCAAGGTTTTTTACTGGGAGTGTATTTAACAATGACACGCCTTTTATATCCGATTACTCTGTCAAGGCTGGGAAGTGAGGATTGAACAGCTGCAGCTCAGATGTAGCAACAATAAAGCATTTATAGTCTCATCTGGCTCATCTGGCAAAATAGAGCATGACAGAAAAACTTGGGTACTTTCTGGTGCGGTACAAGGAACCGATCATTTAGCGATGGATCGTTATACGAGTTCCTCTTGGGGTTTGGAATGGCAAGGAGCCTCATTGGGAGCACAACCCTCATGGTTTGCTCGTTTCTTGCTGCTATCTTCCGCAACTTGAAAAGTAACAACATGCAAAGTCGCGCGTCTATCTACTGCGCCTCTATCATCATTTTTTGTACACCAAATAAAAGAATAATCAAAATTGGTTTTCACTTGTGCTTTTGTCTCTGTTTTTTTTAATAAACTAGAATTTTTTTGCAACAGGCTGACATGTGTTAAAATCCTCACAGCATTTAGTATTGTTGAAGTTATCGTTAAAATTTTTGTCGTGATTTACAGACTCTATATTTACAGACTCTATATTTCGTTCAATTTCGCAAACCAATCGATGAAATTTAAATAAACTGATTTGTTTGGAAAAATACTTTGACACAAACCCTACTTCGCGATTTTTACGCACCCTAGTAAAACCAACTTTTTTTCTTTTATTGTTGAACAGAGGTTGAACAGAGACACTGTAACCCTGGGAGATAAAATAAGTCTTTACCTTAGCACCTGCGTTTGTCTGTGTTTACACGTTGTAAGCATGTGTAGGCGTGATAGTTTTTTTTATGTGAGTGTATGTTTGTATGAGTACAGTGTATATCTAGGAATTTTTGTATGTTTTTTTTTCATGAATACGAGTATGTGATCTCTTGATATATAAATCTATGAGTTCTTTCATTCACATGTAGAAACGTAGAAAATGTCGACTTACGACTGTCTTGTAATATTATGATAGCTTGTTTTAAACATTACTTGTTTAAATGCACTAAAACCCTTTCTCCAGAAATCTCATATTCCCTTACTTGTTTGCACAAAATCTGATTTTGATCGGTTAATGTATAGCTATTTTAGAAGATGTGCGAACGGACTAACGAAAGTCACAGAATTTTATATATAGAAGTTGGGAACTTTTGCACACATGTAAATTTTGGAACATTTTGACAGTAGCAAAATCATTAGATAGTTAAAGTTATTTTAGTTTCAAGAAAGGATTGAAACTGTATAAAACAAGACATAGCACACGGAAGCCACCCCTACCAGGATGTTAGATGCGGCCAATTGTAGAACTCCAATGGTGTCATCTGAAAGGTCCTTCATACTGGACAATAGACAAAACCTAATTATTCCGAGTCAGAAGGAAACATACCGGAGACACATAGAATGTATTTCCTAATATATGCGTAATTGACCCCTACTATGACGACACACGTAAAAACGGTACCAGGAAGAAGCGTGTGGATGTTGTAGAGAATGGCGACTGACGACTGTATTGTAATATTATGATAACTTGTTTTCAACATTACATGTTTAAATGCGATAAAACCTTTTCTCCAGAAATCTCATATGCTCCTATGTCTTTTATGCAGTAGATTTTCGAAGAAAGATTTTGATTGCCACTCAACCTATTCCCATAACTACAAATCCAGAATGCGTTCGCAAATACTGAATTTGACTATATATATTTGAAAGCTATGTTATATTAAATTTTGAATTGAGGCTCTTTTCATTAGTAACTTCACTTAGTCCCGCTTATTTTAAAATATCCCCCATCAAACTGAAGTAGCAAAATTCAAAGTTTAGAAGTTCAAGGCATCTAGTGTGAGCATGCAACAACAACAATAGCAACAACAATAATAATAACAATAATAAGGAAGCATACTTTTTTAATCATTTCACCCCAAGCAAGGCAATAAAGTCATTAAGACGCAAAGGGTTATTGAGTTTTAGAATAGATGAGAAAAATATGCTATTAAGGTCAGTTAGTTATGTGCCATGAGTGATACACGCTTAGGCGATCATGTATCTTTCGATAAGAGGCAGATTTTTCCCGTAGTAGGTTGCCATTTCTTTCTGCAGTAGACCAGTTGCCATCCAAGGCTACAGAACCCGGTCTGTCCTGCTATTTACCCATAGCTGGGATCTTACAGCACCTGGTATTTCCAAGCACTCACTCACTGACCAGGCTCGAAGTTGCTTAACTTCGGTGATCGTATGGAGGCCAATGTTTCAATGCTTTATGGCCGTAAGCCCAAGAACTGTTTGAGAAGTACGGGATACTGCTTATCGATGAAGATTTTCGCAGTAACGAGAGATGACCTGAAAGTAAATTTCTTACAAGCAATCAACATCATATGTTGTGTGGAAGAATCCAAATAATAATAATAATAATAATACATTTTCTCTTTGATTGCATGGCACCTCACCTTTTTAATCTGATGCATAAAAAACTTGTCTTTTGAGGTCTCCCGTTGAGATCTGAAGGCAGCTCATACGACGTAGAGGAAAGCAAAATACAACAGCAATAATAATGATAATAATAATAATAATAATCAGGTTGTAGTGTTAGCACCCACTGAATATAAAACTCGGCATGATAGAGTGGGCCAATATCTGCACTACAATATGCCACTTTTATGGGAAGGAAACTGCAAGAAACTGGTATAAACATCACCCAGAGCCGGTTACAGAGATAGGACAGAACAATCAAAGCTAATCGTGATCAAAAACCACAAGAACAGAAGGCGCTTTGTTATTGACATGACAGTCGTTGCAGATTGTAATGTATCTTTGAAGAGCTTCAAAACAAAACGATATTGAAGTAAAAATGTCAAAAATGTTGCACATGAGGACATCAATAATTCCAGTTCTAGTTGAAGTTTTCGGATTCATTGAAAAAGGCTCCGATAGATTCATTGAAGGGATTCCTGATAGGACTGTCATAAAGAAATACACAAAATTATACTCACAAGTCCAATTCTCGGGCTACGAAGAACTTTGTCTATATAAAATATGTGTTCTTATTTATAATAAAAAAATGATCAGTGGAAAATATCATGAAGTTATTTCTGGCCTTACGTCTCTGGTTGGTACCCGGAATGAAATATCTATACAGTAGAAACCCAAGGAAATAGAAAATAAGAAGAAGAAGAAGAGAAAGAATTTGGTAGAATAACAGAAGTAAAATTCTTTTTTTTTTTTTCATTTTACGTTAGTTTTTAATCCTATAAGAATTCTAGAAAAAAATTCTACTCATACGCTATCAAATAAATAAATAAATATTTCCCAACAGTTACAATCTTAAAAATATTAATGAAGTAAAATATATATATATATATTAAAGCGAAATGAATGTATCGTACAATTTTAATCTTTGCCTTTTTTATTGAAATGTATTTGTTAGGGAGTGTTGTTTGGATATAAGATAGTCACTTAAAGTTAGATGCCGACTCTGGGGCAGGACATAAGAGATTGAAACATCTGGGAGGAAAATGTTGGCAGCCTTGGCGGTAGGCGAGAAGATTCAGCCGGGAAAGTGGATGTTCTGAAGTGTCGGTGAAAAGAGACAGACAAATAAAGCGGAAAAAATAAGAGGAAAAAAACTTGTAAAAAAGAAAAAGAGAGAGAGAGAGAGATAGAGAGAGAGAGATTTTCAGCGAGTATTGCAAAAGAGAGAAAAGCAGGAAAAGAGAAAGAAAAAAAAATTCGGAATGGAAAAAAGCTACAAAAGCCGACATGAGATTAAACGCATGAGACGGAAGTAAAAGCGTTCTACGCGCATGCGCTTGTACATACACGTTTCTATATGTGAATGAAATAACTCATAGATTTATATATCAAGAGAGCACATACTCGTATTCATGAAAAAAAAACATACAAAAATTCCTAGATATACACTGTACTCATACAAACATACACTCACATAAAAAAACTAGCACGCCTACACATGCTTACAACGTGTAAACACAGACAAACGCAGGTGCTAAGGTAAAGACTTATTTTATCTCCCAGGGTTACAGTGTCTCTGTTCGACCTCTGTTCAACAATAGCATTGGAGTATTTTTACGTTGTAGGTCTTAAATAAAATGGAAATGCAAGCAATAATATCAAAATGATTTCATGTTGTAGGTCTTACAGAAAATGGAATAATAGATAGGTAGTAATAATTCAATAGGTAATAATAGTATAGGTAATAATAATTTCTTAAAAGAAGTGGAATAATATCAAAATGATTTTACGTTGAAGGTCTTAAAGAAAATAGAAATGAAAACAATAAAATCAAAATGATTGCTTCAACGATCTTATCATTTTCTGTTTGACTCTCTGTCTTTGCTAGTATTCCGACAAATGCTTGCATACCAAAATTTCTTTAAAAACGCATTGAAAATATTTTAAATATCTCCTTTTCGGTAGAATTGTGGTTATATTTCAAAGATAATTGTTTGAAGATAGTATATAAAAAAGAAAAATAATTTTACTCATTTCAATAAGGTTTTCAAGACATTTTTAAAAAGTTCTTACCGTCATTTTATCATCGATCCCCCTCTTAGATAATATTTAAAATAATTCTCTCTTTTTTTCCAGATGATCAACAAATGTTAATTAAACTATATATTCATTACGGAAAACTTTTATTAAATGAATTACAGCCAAATCAAAATTTTTTATCAAGCTGAAATAAAAATATTAATTAAAAATTCATGTAGAAAAGTAAGTGAACCCTTACATTTACACTCTGTATTGCCAATGCAAATAATTTTTTGAGCATGTGTAAAAATCAAAAATCAAAATGATGTGTTCATTTTTTTGGTAAGCTATGTATACTGCAGTTAAACAATATAACTTATTGTATATGCAAAATTGTGCAGTTAGAGATTAAATTTTAAAAAAATATATGCAATGATCAAAAGAACTTCCTGAAGTTTTATAAAATCGCATAGTTGAAATCTATAATGCTGGAGAAGGCTACAAAAGTTATCAAAACGATTTGGAGTACACTTCTCCACCGTGCAAAAAATTATTTATAAATGGAAGTCTATTGTTATGACGACATCACAATTAAGAAGTCGCTGTCCGCCAAAAATAACAAGAGAAAGTAGACATCTAGTTCAGCAAGCCAAGGTAAATCCTGTCGTGACCAATACTAACTGGCCAATGTCGGAATCAATGTGCACACATCTACAGTGTGACAAAATCTGAACAATGCCGATCTTCATGACAGAATGCCTAGAAAAAACAACTGCTTACAAAATAGCACATGCTCGCCTCAACTATAACAAAGCTCAGATTAATAAGCTAAAAACATTCTGGCAAAGAGTTTTATGGTCGGATGGAACAAACTTTAGGTTTTAGGAAGAAGAATAGGTGGCACATCTGGCGAGCTCCTAATACGGCTTTTTAAGAGAAGAATTTGATACCAACCATTAATCATGGCAGTGACAGCATTATGATTTTGGGGTGCTTTTCTGCATCTGAAACAGGCCAATTATTACATATTGACGTCACAATGGACTCTGCAAGATACCAAGCACGAAAGTATTTTGTGCTCAGTTCAAAAGTTGGGTTGAGGTCGGGGCTGGAATTTCCAACAGGACAATGATTAGCATCATCAAAGCAAATCCACAAAAGAATGGGTTCGTAAAAATAAATTTAAACTCTTGGAACGTCCTAGTCAAAGTCCTGATTTAAACCAAATTGATAATCTGTGATTCACGTGAAAGAAGGAAATGCATGCAAAAAATCCAGGTCATATCGAGAAATTGAAGGAGTTTTGCCAAGAATAATGATAAAAAATCGGCACTCACTACAGCCAGAAACTTAAAAATGATAGAAAAAGACTGGTTGAAATTGTAACCTCAAAAAGAGCAATCACCAAATATTAAATGGAAGGGTTCACTTATTTTTGCACATCTTGAATTAAAATTTTTTTTTTTATATTCCCGCTTGATAAAAATCTTTAAAAGTTATTGTAATTGATGTAATAAAGATTTTTCTTAATGAATCTATAGTTTAATTAAGATTTGTTGATTACCTGAAAAAATGAGATAATTTAAAAAAAATATTATCTTAGGTGTTCACTTACTTTGGCACAGAACTATACATATATATATATATATATATATAAAGAACCTCCAGAAAAAAGCGATAACTAAGTTTTAAAATAAACCTAAAAAAATTAAAAATATTTTTAAGGTTATATTTTAGCTATAATTTCAAGCTAATAGATTAGATTTAATATCTCCAATAAGCAAAATATTTTGTCGTATTTTAAATGCTATTTTAAATTGACTGGAAGGAGTTTTTTTTTGTTTTTTTGTTTTTTGCTAAAATAGCTGATTAGCCTCTTTTTTAGTCGTCTTTTATAGCAATGTAATTTTCCTCATTAAAAAATCTGGCAAAAATAATGCATACTTTCCTGAAACTTTATTTGAGAAATATTAGCTGATTTAAAATATAATTAATCTGATTTGAAAAAAATATTATTTACTTTAAGTTTAAAATATCTTAAAAATACAATTTTTAACCCGACAGTTGGCGTGTTGACAGCTTGATGACAATTCTAATTTTGTTGTATGGAAACTTTATCGGTAAAACATTATATATAAGTAGTCAGTAAAAGTAGTTAGGAAAATATTCTCCGTAATCTAATATTTTAATTGATTTTAGAAATATAGGTTTTTAAATTTGCTATAGTCATTGCTCTAATTTTAAGCCAATGTCATGTATGGTCGCGCGTACTTACAAAAATCAGCCCGCTTATGCACAGACACAAGAAATTTAAAATTTGTTAAAAATATTGGTGCTTGATGATTTGTATTAAGTTTTTCCATTTATGATTAGTAAATATAGTTTTCAGTTAATAATAATATATGTAAAATGCTGTAATTAATACAAAACTTTGAAACTTAATAACATTTTCTAATTAACATTTTAAAGAAAATGAAAATTCTTGTAAAAATTCATTATTCATCGAAAAATTGTCTTTTTTAAGACAATACTACCCTTTATATATCTTACTTATAAAAGCAATTAAAAGCTTTTCTAATTAAATAATATCATAGTTTTATTGCATTTTTTTATTTTACGATTCAGAGCAGATTTTCCGTAAATAGTGTTTCTTTTTGTCAAAAGCAAATTGATGATTTGCATTCTCCAAGAATCCCTACTTTTAACTAATATAAAATATGAAGAGGCCGAATTTTAATTTCTCGAAATTTCATAAAATTAAGTAAACATGCTTCAAAATTTCCTCCTCTGTCATTCTCCTTAACTTGGAAACAACTAAAGTTAGAAGTTGAATAGGTAATTCAATATAGGGTGCGGGGTATTATTTTCATTTAATTGTATGCTCGCTTTGTATCCCTTTAGGCTTTAATACTGTCGTTTTTTACATTTTCTAATTTTACATAATTGATTAATTTCATCTTATCCACCTTTAGAACATTTATTTCTAATAGTCTATGATTTTTTTACGTTCCACGACTGTAATCGGAATAATTTCATACCGGTGACAGGCTTCAAAAGTTCTATTGAAGTAGTCCAAAGTTTTTATAAAAGATCAATCGAATTGTCTCATTTTCAAATGACTTATTCTCAATTTCGATTTATCCATTTCTTTCCAGAAATTTCTTAGTATTTGTTATATACTGTACATATGAACACTAATGGTTATGTCCCAATCCTCATAAATACGCTGGACACTATTGTACGTGAGGGTAACATGCTGTCTAAGTCCCTCACCAGCAGTGGTTTACCTACTTTAGGCCGCTGGCGAGTATTGTATTTTGTTTATGTTATGAAGATTACCATTTCCTTTCCAACCTCCGGTTTGGTTATTCCTCATTCAGTAACCCTTCCTAGGTTACAACAGATTTAGAGAAGCTTCTCTCCCCATATCCACTTGCATGGGAAAAGTTATACCATTTAATTTAATTTTTTTCAAAAGAATTCTTTTCCTTAGATCTTTGAAAAGAGGTCAATTATTTCTTTTTTCAATTTTTCTATGCCATTTTCTTTTTAGCTTTGCATACAGACTGCAAATTGTTTTTCTTCCGCGGTTATGGCAAATTTTTTCCAAAAGTGGGGCACTGTTTTCTGTCAATTTCCTGCTCATACTTACAGTATTCGCATTTCTTGCGTTCCTTTTCGTTTCAACATTGTACTTTTAATCAATTTCAGCTGTTGTATAACGTCCATCCATGCAGATAAAGACAAATTATTCAATTGTACTTGTTCCAGTATCTTATATTGATGAAATGTACCAGTCATACCTTCAACCAACTGTAACTGAATCAATTCGTCCTCTATAGTCAAATATTGAGTTCCCAGTTTGTTTTAAAATTCGCAGAATCTACTAGCTTCTCTTAATCTGTGAAGATATTGTATAATTGGTTCATCTTTTTTCTGTTTCATGGACAGAAATTTGGTTCTTTCCTCTATGACAATTTTATTTTTAGGTCGTAAATTTCTTTTTATCATCTCTGAAATTTCGACGAAAATCAAATTCTCTAATTGTTTGGGATATGCCATAACATAAATTTTAGTTATAGTTTCACAACCCGCCGAAGCTAGAAAAAGGTTTCTTATTTCATTTTCTACACCTTCTTCCTTACTATTTTTCAATTTTTTTTAGCCCTATATTGTGCTGCAAAACACCGGATCCAAGTCTCAACAAATACTGGTTCGTCCAAGCGACTTAAACATCTCATCAACCTCACCTCACTTGTTGTATAGTTTT